CTACCGCCTGGTGGGGAAGCGCCAGGCGCTGCTCTTTCGCAACTACGCCGACGGGCTGGAGGGCTTCACCCTGCGGCACAACCACCACGAGACGCTGGTCTGGGACAAGAAGCTGCCGAACGAGCCGGCCCACATGATCAAGGTCTTCGCCGTCTTCCGCGACACCCACCCGGAGGAGCTCTACGACATGATGAACGACGCGGTCTTCCGCGAGGAGTGGGACGGCTTCCGCCTCGAGGCCTTTCGCATCGCCCGGCTCGACGAGCGGAACGACATCGGCTACTACGCGGCAAAATCGCCGGTGCCTTTCGTCGCCAATCGCGACTTTGTCAACCAGCGAAGTTGGCATGCCGCCGGGCGGGGGGAGTATGTGATTTTTAATACCTCGGTGCCGCACCCGGGGATAGGGGGGCGGGCGGCCAAGCACGAGCGCTGCGTCCGCGCCTTCAGCAAGCTGACAGGGTACCTCCTGCAGCCCTGGTGCAATCCCACCACGGGCGTGGAGGAAGGGACAGCGTTCACCTACATCACCCACGTCGACCCGCGGGGGTCGATCCCGAAGTCGCTGGTGAACTTCGTCACGACGAAGTTCGCGCCGAAGACGATCAAACGAGTGGGAAAGGCAGTGCTGCAGTTCCGCCAATGGCTGCCCGCGCAGCTCGCGTCGGGGGAATACACGCGGGACTGGGGACTGACCCCGGAGTGGTGGCTCTCCGATGAAGAAGAGGCGGAGAAGCCGCTTCGGAACGAAACGATCGACTTTGCTAAGGAAAAAATGAAAGGGCTCACGAGCTGATGTAAATAATAATAAAAAGAGAAAAGAGAGAGAGAGAGAGAGAGAGACAGAGACGGGGGGAGGGAGGAGGAACTCAAGACTTGAGAGAGGGGGTGGTAAGGAATATCGGTTCAGGAGGAAGAGAGGAATAAATAACTATATTTATATATAACAATAATACAAATAAAAATATAAAATGCAAAATGTATTACTCTTCTTCATCTTGCAAATAATTCTTAGATAGGTAGAAGAACGATTATAATTTTCTTCATAGTATTAATTATCATGCTATTATTATCAGTTTTTTTAGTTTTACAATTGAAAAGGGGGAGGAGGATATTCTGATTTTTACTTTCAGTTTTGCTCCTGAAGTATATAGGATTACCTATATTGTTCATCACCAATAAGTGCCTTTTCATTTTTTTCTGAAAAATATAAAAAGCTTAATATTACTAAATGACATAATGAGTATATATAGATATATACAAATAGTATATTCTTATAAAAATCGCTGAAGTTGACAAGATATTTCATGGATCTTCACTATTGTTTCTATGAATCGAATTGTTTTTTTTTCCGGACTTAATTCTGCAGTTGTGATGCTAAAGGTGTTTGCTGTTTGATTGGTTTATCCTTATCATGCGCATTTTTCTTTCTGGAGATTTCTTCGCATGGGGGTGACTGGATAATCTTTTGTAATATTTCTTTACAATGAAGAAAGGAGGGAAATAGAAATAAAGAAGGTACTTCCTCCATGGATTCATTTCCTTGTTTTACATTTTTTCAAAGTAGAACTCAATACGAAAAGAATAAAAAAAATGCGATGTCTGAAGAACTCACCGTGTGAAAGTATTTGGCTATTTGCTATTTGTTACTATTATATTATATTTAGTAGTTGATTGGAGGATCGGCATTTATGGATCCTCTTTTTTTTTATTTGCAAGATTAAAAAAACAAAAGAAGTTCCTTCAAAAGCAAAAAAAACGATATAAATAAGAAGAGAGAATGTTGGATCCTATTCATAGGATTATTACTGCTATTGCATTCATTCTACACCTTATACACATACACAATTCTTCATTATTATTTTATATTTAGAAGCTGGAAATAAGGGGTAGGTGAGTATCAGAAGGTTTTTAAACCACATTTAATTATTTTACGGCATCTTGATTAATTTATTGCGCTTATTCTAGAATTACTATTAATAAAAATGTATCGTGATGAATTTCCTATTCGAATTCTCCGCATCGTAGCGCTCAATCAGGGTATTGAACGGGAACGTCGAAGGGCTAAATTATTCCACAAGGAAAAGGAAAGCTCCTTTATGGATTCCTCCCAAAGAAAATCATCCATAAATATTCAAGAATACCATAGTTCAAAATATCCAGGAAGGAACAATATGGATGATTGTCATAAAGAAGACGTTAAAAAGGAAGGGGTTTGTCGTCGTCTGCATGAGTATTTCGCTTGCAGGGAAGAGGAAGCACGGCGGTGGGCAGAAGGTATCGGAAGCCTCAAGAGTCTTCCTTCCTTTTCTTCATTTAACAATAGCAATCATACTATTCACAAAAAGAAGAGCAAAAATAAGAAATACAATTCCTTTAATAGTTTTAACACCGCTCGAAATGTTCATAACGAGATTGTCACACCTCTCAACGAGGCAAAAGTAATTATGGAAAAGCCACATTCCGCGTCATTACCATGGCCAAACAATAATCACTTCCTCAAGTGTAATAAAGGAAAAGGTTATTCTGGTGCTTCTTCTACTGAGGAAAAAGAAAAGTATAAAAAAGAGTTATTGTTATTAGAAAAAGGCAACATTCAACTTCGTATGATGGGTACAGGAAACAAGAGCAATGAGGCTATGGAGTTTTCTTCTCTATCTTTTGAAGAACTTTCGAAGCATTTGAGCAGCCGTCATCTTTCTCGTTACCGTCGCTTACATCACGTTTTAAATCATTCTAATTGTAGTCAGCTTCGTAATTTATGGGAGCGTAGCCTTCCTGTTTTTGCGATGTCGGATACGGCGCCACAGGTGATGGATTTAGATCTACAGCAAAGCTCTTCTCGTGTAGCACGTTGCACCGAAGATAAAGGTGTAGTAGTGATTTAATAAAAATATTTTAAAACGAATAAAGAGCAAAGATGAATGAAGAAACACCTTGCGTGCGATTCTCTGTACAAAGCGATTAGTTCCCTTATTATTTAGGTGCTTATGGATTCCTCTGTTTCTGTTATATTTGTACTCTCTATATTTGTATTTGTACTTTATTATAATTTAGCTTGTTTTGAATTGTTTTATGTCATTCTTATTATCCATTCATTTACCGTGTAAATCGATATATAGTTTCTGCTCGAGAGAGGTTGAGCCTTCGAGGATCTTTATCTTAAAACTACTTTTTATTATTGATCTCATCTTGTACGTGAAACTTCATCCCTCAAGCGCAAAATACACAATCAAAATATTGCCCACCAAAAGAAATAAATTCCAGGCTCCATCACGCGTTAGACCGAGGAAAGCGCTAATCCCCATAGTTCACCAATCAGTTATTTTCTATTCTTTTCCGTTTCGGCGATGATCGAAAGCCCTTGGGAAGCCTTCGACACGTCGGAGTCGAGGGAGAAGGGCGACAAAGGCCTCCACGCGGCGGTTGACGCGGCCGGCCTGGCGAACGTCCTGCGCGGCGCCACCATCAGCCGTCTGCGTCTGCTGTCCAGCCTCGTGAAGACCCCCACGCGGGAGCTTCTTTTAGGCACCCCCCCCGCCGTCGGGCCCGGGGGTGGGCTCGCGCCGACCGCGCTCGAGTCCCGCCGGGCCGCCTTTGCGGGCCTGCCCGGCCTCAG